AGCAAGGCTGGCTGGGGAATTCTGGGAGTTAAAGTCCCCACTTCTGAAAACTGCCAAGGTTGAGAAACACTGATTTAATGTTTCAGTCCTGCATCCAACTCATATATGGTCATACAGTACCATAAGCTAAGCTGAGATAACATAAGTTGCAGTCAAATTGCCAAACATGATTTTTGCATAACTGTCATCTGTGCCATTCTGCCCAGTGTTCCCAGATGTTCTTTAGCATACACATATTTTTTTTCCTCAAATTAAAAAAGATGTTCTGGGCATCCGCATCTCTCAGTGAACCATATATTAAGTATTTAAATATTTTATTATTTGTATACTGGCTTGTATTCTCCCAGAAGGTTTATTTGAATCAGATGTTTAGGTGTACATATTGACTATTATTTTATCACTGGTATTTGAAACAGCCAGCTTTCAAATGCCACTGGCCTGCTGACAAAGGGGTAGGATTACTTTTGCTATCATATTCTGTGGACTGCATGTTAGCTTTTATCGTCCTAAGAGTTTATTTCAGACATTTAAACACTGCTTAAGCACTGGAGCCTTTTTTAAACGTATGTCGAGATCTCTGTCATACAGAACCACTTTTGCTGTAAACGATGGGAATAACTGGAAACTTTCCAAAACAGGCTTTGAATTAAATGAAACAATCTGCTATTCCTTTAGACGGGCGTTGTTGCAAGACGCACACTTTTTGTGGCTTAAACTACTGTAGAAGCAGTGCTGGTAGATCTGTTGGTTTAAACTTGAATCTGGCAATAAAGAAAAGGAAAAATTGGTTAGGAAGAGCAACCGGAAAAGTAGGTAGGTAGGTCGGATAGAATCTTCCAAAATCCGTTATTCTCTTTTCCATAATTTCTTTTTCCTTAGACTTATGCTGTAAAATTGCAAGTAAACCCAGCTCAAATTGTTTTTCCATCAGCGTCTAGCTAATACAGGATTTGAGCTGGGCATAGACCTAAATTCATCTCTTTCTTCCATGCATGTTGCAATTCCAGCTTTATTTGCTAACATAGCAAATCGCTTAGCAGTGACATGAAACTGAAGGCACCGGGCTTGATCCTTTGTTTCATGGAGGGTTGTGCCTCTACGACAAATTCCGTGTAGTGAAGATCAAGGTGCTGTCCAGAAAAGCTGGTTTCTATTGGAAGCGAAAACATTTATCTCAAAGTGAGGAATTTTAGTTGTCCTTGATTAGTAACCAGCTTAACAAAAGCACTGATTTTTTTTCTCAAGTGATTTGCAAAGCATGCCATGATTTTATCAAAGTAATCTTAAGCTGAGGTGGTGACTCACTGACAGCTTTTCAAGGGAGGAAAATGAATTACAGTATTCATAATATCTCAAAATGTGTCCCAGGTTGGTTATGACTTAATAAAGGTAGAGAATAAGTCAATACTTAGGAAATATTCTTCACTAATTTGCAAATAAACTGGGAGGCAGCAACTCAGTCCCTGTTAAAGACTCATAAGCCAAGTTTAGACAGTGCATTTTCTTCATGAAATGGAGTGAAACGTGGCCTCGTAATTTTCCTAACTTCTGTTTTACATCCAATGCATCTATTTCTGAGTTTAAACTAACCATTGTTTTCATTGCATCTGAAGTTAGGGAGCCTGTTGGTTTAAACTATGATTTGTTAATAAGCTAGGATCATAGAGTAGGAGAAGGGAGTGGAAAATCCACTAGATGAACATTTGTTCAGGCCACAGTGCAGTATGAAATCCTGATCAAGTTCATCTAGGAACCCTGGTAATGAGTTTCTTCCCGTAACTTGGTGTACTTCTCCAACTAGAGACCTACAGAACAGCCCCTAATGGCTGTAGGTCAATGAAAGCAATTTTCATATGGCTTTCTTGAGACACCGATTGTCTCAAGAGCAGCAGGAACAACTGTGGAACCTAGGAAGAAGAGCTTAACATGCGGTTAACATATTCTAATAGTGTTTTATCTGAACCGGATTGCTTGCTTTGTCCCTCCCTCATCAGTTGGGGGCTGACGGTAGGAGTTGTAGCTGCTTTGCAATTTGTATCTTGTTTGGAAGTGATGGGCCTTGATGTGATCTATCCTTGTTCTTCTGGGTGAACCGCTGATTGCTCTAGCTCCTCCAGACATCCTGTTCTGTAGCTGTCATCAATCCCAGCCAGATGTCAGCTGAGGGTAATGGTAACCCAGCACTTCTGGAACGTAGTATATTGGAGAAAAACACAAATATCCTGTCCTACCAATGGGAAGAGCCAAGCCAAAACATGGGCAAGTGCGCTCCAGCATGCAGCTCCTGAACAACCTATGTTGCTTTCTGTGATTGTGGCTGGAGATTGTGGCTCTTCATACACAGAACAGGGCTCATGGTCCACCCCTTCTCTGGCTTATTGATCTGTTTGGGTTGGTGGACAGTGCCCAGACATCTCATAAGGCTATCACATCGTTTGGTTGTCGTACAAACCAACTAGGGTGTGTCAGTAACTGGCAGTTGAACAAACCATAGCTTAGTGCAGTGGGTGACCCCAGCTGCTGCCTGTGAAGATACAGAAGATTGGTCAACGTGTCCTTCCCCTGATCCAGTGAAGATACGTAGTTGTGGGCACATGGACACGACTGCATGTGTTTAGTTAAAGGGCCAGAAGCTGTTACGAGATGAAAATCTGGAATATGTCAGCATCTGTCTGTTACCAACAGCTTTCAATTTTTGGACAAAACTCTTTCTTTTCAAGAAGTATGTTGATTGAAGAATGCATTTCAGCGCAGAATGCTATTTATTGAGCTCTTCCACTTGGGAAAACAATTTAGAATCCATTTTTCACTCTACCGTGCTTTTCCAGGCGAGGATGACCTTCTTTGGATTGGAACTGTTAAAACACGTTTGGGATGGCCCTTCCCATCCTCACTGAAACTGATTGGCAAACTCCAGTCTATCTCTTTGACCAGTTGGCTTGTAGACTTAGAGATTCCCCCCTCCTTTTTTTTTTTCACTGTGGTGGAAAAAAGATTAGCCATACCCAATCTTACATGAATCTTCAGGAAACTACAGTATGGACGAGAAATCTCACGGGTGTAAACACGGAGAAATGCTCGAGAGGGAGACGCTTCTGTCATCGCTTGCTAATCGGTTTGACATGCAGCATTTTGCAGAACGCTTCAGAAAGCAAGGGAATGTGCAGCACCATTTTTAGAACAATGGGGGATGGAAATTTTAAGTAAATCCACCCTCTAACTGTGGTGATGGAGCAAGAGGGAGGGATGAGAAAGCATTGAAGAATTATTAGTGCCTGGAGGAGGGGTGGAAAAGCTGCAGATGCCTGCTGCTTTTAGAAAGATGCAAAGTTCTGGAAGATGGCCTAGGATGGCTAGCCAAGAGAGAGAATAAGAAGTGTTCCAGATTTATTTTGGGTTGGCTGGTTAGCTGGTTGATTTTCTGGTATCATTTTTCTTCTTGGCAGATAACCGTCTGCCCTGCACACCTGCTGCTGTAGAGAAATGTTCTACAGGTTGCTGGGACTGTAGACTTGACAGCATGAATAACTTGATTGTTTCGGCAGAACTGGCAGCTAAAATGGTGGATTACAGCAGTGAGTTTAATAATTGACACTCAATAGACCTCAAAAGTAGGACAGTACATTCTGTCGTCTTCTTTTAAAGTGCTGCCAGAGTGATTGGAATCTTTATTATAAGAGCTCTGCAAATTTGCAGAAGGGCCTTGATTGAAATAGGCCTTTGTCTTGGGTTTGTCTTCTGAGGCTAATGCCTGTACTTAATTAGAACATACTGGTTTTCCTTCCACAAGTCAAGTGAAATTATGGGTAACTCTTGCCCAGAATGGTTCCATTTGAAGAGATAAAGAGAGCTGACTCCATCATTTTGCAGAATGCAGTCTTGTTCTTTCCATCAGAGTCACACTGGTCTGACTCTGATCTCACATGGTAACTATATTTGAATATGTTTACACCAGAAAATAGAGCAACATCATGCGTGCTTTGTTGCCCATTGTCAGTAGTTTTCAGAAGAACCTTAGATGTTGCATGAACTCCATTTCATCATGGAAATGTAGGCACCTGGAATTCCATCTTGTCCTTCTGGAATAAATGAGCTACAGGGCTTCTGTTCTCAGATGGTTATTTGGGTTGACAAGGCAGACTTTAAGGAGCAGAGTGAAGGCCTATGGTTCAACAATGGCACCATCATTAAGCCCACCGCTGCCCATCCCTCTCTCTCCCCCCACCCCCAAGAAACCAAGAATAAACTAAGAGAGCAAGGAACATCTACTCTCTCGTTGGGAACAGCAGTGAAATCCAGCTGAAAGCAGAAAATGAAGAGGAGATGGCAGTGAAGAAGTAGGGGTGGGTGCTGTGTAGATAATTCTGGAGCTGGCAGCCCTTCTATGGCAAACAGAGTGTATAGGAGGATGTGTTGTAGAGTACACAGTGCATGTCTCCGTTCAGTATAGCATCTTGTCCTCCCCATTGATTGCCATTTGAAAAGGACTTAAGATTTTGTGTCGGGGTTTTTTCAGTCTACCTGCAGTGTCATCAGGGATGCCCCTTTTTGGAGTATTTATCACTCACCTGCTTTCATTCCTTTGGGCAAAGAATTTCTCTTGGGCAACTCTAACATTGAAGACTTTGGATTCTTGCATCTTACAATTTGAGAACATTTGTTTGAGCTTCATTTGATTTTATACC